AATTCCATTTTCCCAAATTTGCCTGGGAAAGTGGAATTACCCTTTAAATGTACTCTGCCTGACCTGCAGGATTAGTGCAGCATTCTTAAAGTGGAATTACAGGTTCCTACTCCTTAGGCCTCATTCACACGAGAAAAGGCTGACACGTACAGCTCGGTGCTGCGTGCACGGCCGTATCGGGCAGCTCCCAGGAAGGACAGGTGCTGCATGTGATTAGTACGCAGCCCCTGTTCTTCTCTATGGGAGTATGCGGCCCTACGCTCACCCCAAGTGCAGGTCCGTACGGGTGCGGGTGTCCCGGCTCAGATGCAAACAGAATCCATCCTGTCAGCGTACGAGTACAGACACCCGCACGGACGTGCAAGGCGGGTGAGCGTAGGGCGGCGTATGGCCACGTACTCCCATAGAGAAGGAGAGGGGCTGCGTACTAATCACACGCAGCACCTGTCCTTCCCGGGAGCTGCCCGATAAGGCCTTTTCTTGTGTGAATGAGGCCTTACTGTATGGGTGGGCAAACTCCATCCCTCCAGATGTTCTGAAACTACAAGCCCCATGAGGCATTGCAAGACTGTCAGTTTAGGCCCCATTCACACCAGAGCGGGTGCGAATCAGCGCGGTTTTCGCACGATTTTTAAAAAGATGGTATTGGGCGTCCTGAATTGCGTTTCCGAACTCTATGGAAACCGTGCTATCGGGAAAAAAAGCTCACAGAGCAATTTGGGCGGGAGGCGGCTTGATTGGCACGGACACGCGCAGTCGCATGAATGGTCCCAATAGCAGTGTATGGGATCGTTCCTGTCGGCAGATCAGCGTGGCCAAATCCACGTGGCCGAAACGCCCTTGTGTGAACAGGGCCCAAAAGGCATGGCTCCCAGAGTAGAGGCATGTTCGGCCACCTGCCTTACAGCCAAGGAGGGTGCCATCTTAGCCTCTGTTTAGATTGCAGTTGCCATGCTGCTGCACATGTGATCGGCTATGACACCAGCCATTGGAGGGCTTAAAAGTTTAGTTGAGAGCTGAAATAAGCCCTCTGACAACCTTGACAGTTGGCATACTTTGAACGCAACGGTTTTGGGAGACAATAAATTGGTGGGTCTAGTTCCTGCACTCTTGTAAGAGGTATAAAGCCCAGTCCCCATTGTCCCCGGACCGTCAATAGCAGTGTCTGTGGTGTAAGCTGTGACCCAGAGAGTGACCCCATGGAGCAGAGTGACCCCAGGGAGCAGAGTGAGGCCGGCACCTATTACTGACCTCACTTAATGCCTCTGGAAGGTGCAAGGACTACACTCAGAGGATGTGGAGATTATTGTCCATTTCTTTTATAGACAGTTCCAGACAAAACAATACACAACAACAAAACACTGGAAGATAACCGTTCACGTTGCATGTTAATTACTGAATTTTGTGTTTGTTCTCAGAAAGAGTAATAGAGTTGTTATGGCAACCATTCACTTGCTGCAAGTTTACTGTATTCTACTGTAAATTCCAGAGGAAATAACTGCTTTGTATAGGTAAGAGATATTTAAAGACTTAGCCCACCTTATTTACCATATGCGAACATTGTAAACACTAACTGGTGTCTATTATGTCTTACATACATCGGTGGTAGAATGTCTTACATATCCCGACTCATCCCGAGTGGATTTACTATAAGGCAAAGTAGGCCTGTGCCTGTAGGCAGGACCGGATTTCCCACAAGGCCAACTGACGCCCACCTCAGGGCGGCAGGGGTGTGGAATCTCCCGACGCCCGGGACATGTAGTTCTGGGCGCGGGGTGGGTAGTTGTTTTGTACATTTAGCACTGCTGCGGGCAAGCAGGGCTAAATGTACAGCGGGGAAGCCGCTCACTTGTTTACAATCACTTGTTTGCCGCCTGCAAATCCCCCCCCCCCCCCCCGCCAACTACCTCTCTCCCCTTAAGCCGCCTCTGTCCAGAGACGTAGATCTTCAGGTTGGTGAGCGGGGAGCAGACCAGGGAACATCCGTTCTCCACTCTGCTCCATGTGAACACTGAGACAGCAGAGCTGCATTCAGAATTGTCAGAATCTTGCAATGCCTTATGTGATTTGTAGTTTCACCACAGTTGGAGGGCTGAAGTTTGGCTGTCCCTGATCTATATCCAAATTTACAATTAGCAGGAAGGTGATGCTTTGAGACCCAAAGGATGTGCACCCATAGGCCCCAGTAATGGCAATGTCACCAAGATTGTTATAATCACCATGGTAAAAGTATATGAGGGAATGGACTGCTTTGCAATGTGTTGCATTACTTTGTGCTCACAGGGGTCACTTTATAGACAGCTGCCTAAATGGGATGCATTATTCATCTAGGTCAGGGGTAGCCAAACTCCGGCCTTCCAGCTGTGGTGAAACTATAAATCCCATGATGCATATCTCTCCGGGTAGTCATGCCTGTGGCTGTGAGAATCTTGCAATGCTTCATGGGATTTGTAGTTCCACCACAGCTGGAGGGCCTAGGTTTGGCTACCCCTGGTCTAGGTCCTCTTACCCATCTTCTATTTGCATTTGTTTAGGATAAAGCAGATTTAAACCATAACTGGAAGACATTTGTGTATCATAAACAATTACCATGTTTATAATCTCCTTCTGAAGCCTGTGCATCAGGGTGACAATTGGGAGACAGGGACAGAACATTGTCACCCTATGAAGGAAGTGCCTAAACAAGGACCTTCATGGCAGGATCGCCAGGTATTATTTCAATGAAATTTGAAGATTTTAAAATATTGAACATTTAATTATTATGTTGAAGCTTATATGAGGTTTTAGTGATTGGGTTTACATATACTGCAAACATAGTATGGCCGACATCCACTTTCATGGTATCATGTCCTACATTTCCCTCACAATGCATTACCACTATATCTGAAGTAGCAGAGCGCTCTGTACTGGAGTGGGATTTAGGAGAGAGCCCTGTACTGGGGGGAGTTTATTTTTGGTTGTACTCTGGAATGTGCATTGCCCACTGCTATTCCTGCACTTTGTGCGATATATACTCCTGAGACCTGGGCCCTGTGCAATACACACCTCTAAACCCTAAACACTGTGCGATATGCCCTACTGAGCCCTGAACAATGTGTAATACGCACTCCTGAGCCCTGAACACTGTGTAATACGCACTCCTGAGCCCTGAACACTGTGTAATACGCACTCCTCAGCCCTGAACCCTGTGTATTACAAACTCCTGAGCCCTGAACCCTGTGCAATACGCACTCCTGAGCCCTGAACACTGTGTAATACTCACTCCTAAGCCCTAAACTGTGTGCAATACGCACTCCTGAGCCCTGAACACTGTGTAATATGCAATCCTGAGCCCTGAAACCTGTGCAATATATGCTCCTGAGCCCTGAACCCTGTGTAATATGCACTCCTGAGTCCTGAACCCTGTGCAATACGCACTCCTGAGCCCTGAAACCTGTACAATACGCACTCCTGAGCCCTGAACACTGTGTAATACGCACTCCTCAGCCCTGAACCCTGTGTATTACAAACTCATGAGCCCTGAACCCTGTGCAATACGCACTCCTGAGCCCTGAAACCTGTACAATACGCACCCCTGAGCCCTGAACCCTGCAATATGCACTCCTGAGTCCTGAACCCTGTGCAATACGCCCTCCCGAACCCTGAACCCTGTGCAATATGCACTCCTGAGCCCTGAACCCTGTGCAATATACGCACTCTTGAGCCCTGTACTTTGTGCAATATACGCACCCTTGAGCCCTGAATCCTGTGCATTACCCACCTCTAAGCCTTGTGCCTTAATCTTGACCCTGAACACTGTGTGAGGCACACTTTTGAGCCTGCACCCTGAGAGATACAAATTCCTGACCCCTGCACCATGTGCAATATACACTCCTGACCCCTGCGCTCTGTGTATGCTTTCCTTTTTCAAGGGTGCAGAGGGCAAGCTCCAGCAGACTGTTCCTCCAGCCCCAGGTTTCTACAAAGGTACATATATTTGGTTGTG